ATTACCCTTCGGTATATTCAGTTTTAGTTGTTGGTACCATCATCCTCATAATCATCCAAACTAAATTTTCATTTTTGAATAGACCTAAGAACCAAAACCACTCTTCCATCGCTTTCCATAGAACAGCATCCTGAGATTTCCAGATAACATTTTTAAACTGTCACCATTTGCAACTACTTATCTCTGTGAAGCAAAATTATGTTGCCACGGTACAACAAACAAAACTAGGCATAAAAGAATTGCATAGCTGAGGCTAATAGAAGACACAACCGTCATCCACAATCTCTATCAATTTTATATTCAAACAAATGTCGGTAGTTTCATTGTTTTAATTTATAAAATAAATACACCCTAATTAAATTTCCAATATAATTTTTATATTGGTGTATCATACAAGATTTAATTTGGAAAAAAATTCTGCTGCTAAAACCACTTTAAAAAAATCATTGATCAGTAGAACAAAAAGCAAGGTCCTTAATGAGGGACACAATAGCATGACCCCGCTCACCTCCTCACCCCCGTCTCTTGCTCTTCAGTCACTCATGGAGCCCTGAAAAGCCATCTTGCTGCTCATCTGTTTCTCCTTCTGTCTTCTTTCGTCTACAATGTGCTTGCTCCTTCACCCCATGTAAGGCTCATCTTTTAAGACTCACTTCACACTTCTCTGAAAAGCCTTTCCTTGGCCACCAAAGCCCGGTTAGGAGGACCTCGTTCGTACATCCCTTACAATAACATATGTTTTCAATTTTTATAGGTATTTATCTACTTTGCTCACTAAGCTCTGAGCTCCTAAAGGAGGGATGGTGCTAGAGACTGCCTAGCACGTGGTAGACACTCAGAAATATTTGATAAAGAAGGAAGGTAAATGGATAAATAAACTGTGGTACATCCAAACAATGGAATGTTATTCAGGGCTAAAAAGAAATGAGCTATCAAGCCGTGAAAAGACACGGAGGAAGCTTTAACTCATATGACTAAGTGAAAGACGCCAATCTGAAAAGGCTACATACTGTATGATTCCAACTATATGACGTTCTGGAAAAGGCAAAAACGAAGACAATAAAAAGATCAGAGGTTGCCAGGGGTGGGGGCAGGGGAGAGATGAACAGGCAGAGCACAGAGGATTTTTGGGGCCGTGAAAATCTTCTGTATGATACTATAATGATGGATACATGTCATTATACATTTGTCCAAACCTATAGAATATATAACACCAAGAGTGAATCCTAAGGTAAACCGTGGATTTGGGGTGATTATGATGTGTCAACACAGGTTCATCCTTGAAAAAAAAAAAAGGTACCAGTCTGATGAGTGATGTTGATAAAGGGGAGGCTATGCATGTGTGGGGGCAGGGGTTATATTCCTCTCAATTTTGTTGTAAACCTAAAACTGCTCTAAAAAACTAATTTTTTAAAAAAAAAAAAAGGAAGGAAGGAAGGATGATGGTGGAGGGGGAGGGAGGAAAGAAAGGAAGAAGACAAGTGCATATTAAGGGGCTATAAGTGAGGCAAGTGTTGCAGTTATGGTATGATTTGAAGGAAATCAAAGACTTGAGCTCTTTGCTCAAAATTATCTCTAACATCAGCTTTCATCTAATCTGAAATTCCCACCATTAGAGATTCATTTTTCAGGTTAAGGATTAGGAGAAAGTAACCATTTAAACTGAAATACTCCTGTACATCTAAAATATGACAGCATGTCCCCAAGGCTTCAGACTAGGTTAACTGAGAGGGGAGAAGGGCCTGGGAAGAAAGGACAGGAAAACAGAGAAGGAGACCTATTCCGTGCCAGTTTCCCAGGATGAGTGGGAGAGGGAGGGTGGAATGTTACAAACTCATCAGCAGCAATTCAGTGCCCAGTTATGACATGTTTCAACACTGCCTTTTTGTGTTTTTTCAGCAACTCTGGGAGACGGGAGGGTGGCACACATTTCTTCATGCGGAGAAACCGAGCTTCTAAAAGATTAGATAGAGGCGAAGCTGGCAACAGCAGCCAAAGTTTTCCACGGTCTCCTCTCTCCTAGACCAATGCCCTGTGCAAGGGAGAGAAACTGTGTTACCACCCTAATGATAATGTGCTGATTCTGTTTGTTTAACTAAGGCCACGCCAGATGAGCAGGCCATAATTACAGTTGCAATCCATGTCTCTGATACAGCTGAGAGAACGTCTGTTTCACTGAACTGAACTCCAAGGGAAGGTTTCGCTCAAGGTTGAGCCGGGCAGCCTCCTGCTCTCTGAAAACGATAGTGCCCTTTCAGTTTCACGTTGAACACTTGATCTGAGCAGCGGGATTTCCTACAGCCTGGGCTTCAGATGGTTTACTTTGATTTCTGGGGGCGATAAAAGAAGTTTGCTCATCTTTAAATGGTATTCGTAGTGGCCCCATCATCATAAAATCCTTAACACATTTTTCCGTGTCTGGGTGGGAAGAGATCTGCTTTTTTATTGTTACACAACTTTACTTGACTCCTTTTGGGGAATTTTTCCCCCACAATTCTCTCCTCGTCTTTCATGCTTTGCAGAAAATAACAAAGCCTGTCGTTAACGGTCATTCCTTCTTCTAGTTGACTTCAAATGTTATGTTTAATTCCTTGAGATGCAGAAATGGAAATCAATCCGTTGTTGTGTCACAGGTGATTATCCAGAGTGGGTTGAAGGATGTTCTCGCATTTTGCCAGAATCTTTCATACAGTTTCTGCTGCCCTCTTCTCTGTCTGGTCCTCTCTCTCTCCCCTCTTGGCTGCTTTTTAAATCATAAAGCAAACTGGAAACGGAATTTGACTAAAATTTCCAGAAATAAATCAAGAGAGATAAGTAAGCTGAGCAGGGTTGGGAGTAAGGAGAGATGCATTTGAATGGTTCTGTTTCATTGTTCCCTCAAACCATCTCAGACTTTCCTTAAATACAGCCCACAGTTTGTGGGCTCTCTAATGAATAGTGGCCAAGTGGCAGCCTCACGTTTGAGGTATGCTATTACCATTTTTTTTTTATTCTCTCTCCTTAATTAGGGGCTTTAAAGGGAGGTAGCCCACAGTTTCTGACAAACAGCATTAGCTTCATCAGAATGAAATGTCTGATCCTGGACCCTTTCCTGAAGACCTGGCTGCTTTGTTGAGGGGCTGCATCGAATCTGTGACATTCTCTATGTTTGTAGAATGCAGGAGGAAGACCTCGACTGAGGATGAGTTCCAGAGGCTATGAAAACAAAATCCCTGTTCCCAAAGGTTTCATTTTCTAGAACTGATTTTAGTATACCTCAATAATAAGGCAGGGGCATAAACTAGATCAGTTTTCACTGAGTGTCAGTTTAACTGTGACCGGTAATAAGAAATACATTTTACCCAACCAAACACACACACACACACACACACACACACATACACACACAACAAAAATTTTGTAAAACAATATTTATCCCTAGTTCTTGCAAATCCTTCTACTCTCCATTCTATTTCATTTCATTTTTTAAATGCAAATCTCCACCCACTGAATTGATTTTACACACTAAGAGTTGCAGCCCACGGTTTGAAAAACTCTCAACAGGATGCCCTTTTATTTTTTTCTAACCCTGTAATTCAATATAGAGCGATTTTGAACTGAGGGCAAGCCTGATGAGTTTGAGGTATGGAATAAAGGAATCTGATCAGCTCAGGGTTTGTTGTGTTTTTAAATCTCTCTGTGTGTTCATTCTCTTCACCCCAGAGAGGACTCCATTATCTTTGCTCAAAGAGCAGACACAGCTCTGGCTGTTTCCCCCGCTTCTCTTTGATCCCTGGAGCCCACTGGGCCCTCCCCCCAAGCCCTGCCCCCTACACTGGTTGGGTTGTTCAGACTCTGGGGGTTTGCTGGGCCGGGAGCCTGCGGAGGTTTACTGAGCTATTTCCCTGTCCCCACCCCCAACCTGCTCCACTCCCCGCTGAGCTTTCATTCCGGATCTGCCAGGTTAATGGGATTATTGTTCTTCTCTTATTGTTCCTCCGGTATTTCATACAGGGCCTATCACTTTGTTCCTGGGACAATTTTTAGTTTGTTGCTGAGATGACAAAAGTGAGTGAGGATTGTATATTAGGAATAAATGTTTCTTCATCAGCCAGGATTTAATCTGGGAAGAATTTACCCGCTCTCAAATGAAGTACTTCTGGAGGTGATTTAAAAATAAGATGTTTTTTGACAGATAAAAGACACCGCAATGTATCTTAAGCCACAAGCCACATTTTTTCAAAAGCGTATATCATCATCAAATCAATTGTACAGCATTTTAGGTTCAAATTTTAATTTTGGTCAGAAAGATAAATTAATAGACTGATTATATTATTTATTTTACCCACAATATTCAACATTTACTGAGCACCTAAAGCAGGTACAAAGCAAGATATGTAAAACATATCCCCTGACTTCGAGACATCTAGGCCTTCAGGAGAGAGAGAAGAAATGCATGCAAACAACCATATTGTAAAAGAAGATTTTAATAAGTGACTTGCACACAATACAGTACAAAACCCAATTGTAGCATCTCTCTTTACAGAATTCATGAGTGCAAAGAAAGATATCATTCGTTCCTGTTCTGTCTTTTCAAATATGAGATTGCCAAATTTCTCCATTCCCCATTTTGATTAAATGCATGATTGAATGAATGAACAACTGAATACACATACACTTTGTGCCATGTGCTGGGAGGGCAGTAGAATGGCCTTCTGTACGGAGTTCATTGACCTCCCCGCCTTCCAAGGACACCGGGCCTGGGCCCTACACGAATGAATGTGTCTGGGCTCAGGGCCAAAGATGGACACTTCGGCCTTGACTCTAAGGCACAAGTTACAAAGAATATGTCTTGCGTCATGTTCCTTGTCTGGGCTGGCCACCCCGACGGGCACCTGACTGAACTTTAGAAACATCCCATCCGTGGGAACAAGAAGAAATAACTCAAAGTATCCAAATGTCTGAAACCCTGAGTCAGAACCTAGAGAAGCCTTAGTATAAAAGGGAGTCACAGGCATAGAATAATTGGGAGCCTCACTGAGGAGAGGACGCTTTGCCACAGACCCAGACAATCGGCACTCTAGCCCGCCGTACAAACTATTGGGACTTCCCCGGATGATTGTGGTGTGGATGTTGTAAGTACCGATTTGTTGTTCCCCTTTATCCCTGCTCCTCATTCTGTTTCCCTTTATCAATAAATTTTGATTGCTTAAGCAACCAAGTAGCCTTGGCAGTACCTGTCATTCTTTGCCCTTTGTGGCTGCGGACAACACCTTCCTACTGACCTTTCTTTGGTTTCTTCATGTACTTCACACATGAACTGGCTGCCCAAGAACTGGACTGATAAGGAAAGACAGCCCTGCCCTACGGTGGATGGAGACTGAGAAACACAACAGGCAGGTCAACAAGGCCATGAGGACTCATGTCTTTCCTTCCCTCTGACTGTCTAGAGCAATGTCATCCAAGAGAAATACAAAGGAAGCCGTAGATGTAATTATTAATTTTCTAGTAGCCACATTTTTAAAAGTCAAGAGAAATGGAAAAAATTTACTTTAACAATATATTTTATTTAACCTAATATATCCAAAATATTATCATTACAACATGTAACCAATGTGAAAAATATTAACTAGATATTTTACTTTTTTTTTTTGACTGTCATCTTCCATCTTTAGCATGTAGCTTCCACTTATAACTCATCTCAGTTCTGACTAGTCATATTTTGTGAGTTCAATAACCACAAGTTGCTTGTGGCTGCTGGATTGGACAACACAAGTCGAGACAAAGAACCAGAATTGGGAAAAGCCTAGATAGTTAATGAGTTTCTCTAACATTTAGAGGAAGGGCCTCTCATACCATGGTTGGCAAAAACCTGAAAATTGTCTTTCTGTGCATATTAATGGAGAAATGGGGGTTGCCAACTCAGGATCCACCCCTTCTTCTTCCAGCCTTCCCAAACTGGGGAAACGAGACAGAACTGGGATGGAGTTTCCCCTGCTTCTCCGGGGCCCCGGCACCAGCATCGCTCCAAGGAAAACAAAGATGACCCTTAAGTCCTCACCAGTCCCATGTCTTGCAGTTGATAAATGCTTCCATGTATGATATCTCATTTAATCATTTGAATCATTCTGCACAGCAGTCATGGAAGTATTATTATCCTCATTTTACAAATGAATGAACTGAGACTCAGGAGGACTATATGACTTGCCCAAAGTAGCAAGGCATAAAGTTAGTATCCAAGTGTTTTGAAACTTAACCTACTATGTGGCCTACTAAACCAGAGCCGCGTGGTGAAAAGAAGTGAAGAAAATATTTACAGAAGTATGGATTTTTTTTCTTTTTTGGCAACACCCCAAGTCTTCCTCCAACAACAACAACAACAACAAAATTGGAGATTGCTTTACAAAAGTGATATATGTGACCACTTGGCCAACTGAGTTTTTAACTGGGTTTTGTATTTTTTTAATCGGATATTGTCTAGTTTAGCAATTGAGAACATCTCACATTAGGAACAAGTTAATACATTACCAAAGCAAAGTTTTTTCCTTGGCCCTGAAATGTGCTGCAATCATTTTTTTCTGGGAAAACAAACAAAAGTGGATCAGCAGCGTGCTTGTTATATGAGATGCTGGCTAAGTGCCACCCCCGAGGCCGTTGGCTTGCCTACCGACAATACCTCGCTTTCAGGCCACGCCAGCTGTTTTATGAGAAGATGGCAGTTCTCTGGAAGTGAATTGCTCTGGTCAGCAAGATCTGACTTTACTACTGCCATGTAGGGAGTCACAGGCACCATCAGCTTTGGATGCATCCTTCTGACACTGTGTGAAAAAGACTGGGACAAACTCTAAAGACAGTTTGCTCACTCCATGAGCTTCTGAATTCTGTCTCTTGAAAGAAGGTCCCTAGAATAAAGGACATTCAATATGTTTATCACTCTCAATTTTAGAAACATAATGGCCTCGAGAGCCATATTCGCATTGATCTGTTTTAGCTGCTCATGTGTTCTCTGCTCCACGCAGCTATGTTCCTATTTTTATCCTCTTCATTCCACTCTAGAGCCATGTTGCTTCCTGGTTAGGCCACTAATTGCATTCATTCAAAATATATGATTTGTTTCTTCTCTTTCATTTTATACCTATTTTCTTTGTTCTTGACTATTCCTTCTCTCAGTTAACCTTTGATAAATCATAAGGAAATAAGTTTCGCTAGTTGTAGAGAGCAAGAGTCATTACGGAAACTGGGATGGTCTGAGAGCATCTTAAAAAAGTCATTTGAATAGCCCTCAGAGGGTGGACAAAATCAGAAACTCCAGCTGCGAGTCAGCGCGTCCAGCTCGTCTCCTTCACAGTAAATCTTCCAGAGTTTTCTTTCAGCTGCCACAGTGATGCCAATAATGGTGACTCATGGACTGAAGTGCTGAGTACTGAACTCCTCGCCCCACTTATATGGCACATAGAACGATTTCCTCAGCATAGGCAACGCTGGAAACACGAGAGGAAGACACTGTGGCCCACTAACCCACTCCCATTGTCTGCTTTATCACTCAGTTCTGTCCCTTCCTTCCTCCATAGGAAATGGGAAGTACACAGTGAAAAGCAATATAAAACTCACAGAAAAATATTAAAATATCCAGACACTTTTGCAGTAACCAGCATTTTTCTTAGTGGAGGTAAAAGGCCTAAATAAAGGAATTTATCATCCTCCATTCCTGCCTTCCCCATAACTCCCTCTCCAGAAATCCTACTCTGAACCTAATAACCACTCAATATGCCAAATTACTTGATCTGCTGGGCTGACTCAAGTAGTTTAACTATCTTTCTGTCGACTTTTTTGGTTTTGGTGAAGAAGATTGGCCCTGAGCTAACATCCATTGTCAATCTCCCTCTTTTTGCTTGAGGAAGAATGTCCCTGAGCTAACATCTGTGCCAGTCCTCTTCTATTTTATACGTGGGATGCCGCCACAGCACAGCAGGTCCGTGCCCAGGATCTGAACCTGTGAACCCCGGGCCACAGAAGTAGAGTGAGCAAACTTAACCACTACGCCTCTAGGCCAGCCCCTAGACTTTTTTTTTAAGTAAATTTTTAGCCTAATAATTTACTAGCAAATCAGGAAAGTAGGTGAGGTTTATTAGCAGTTTTGGGTTAATGTTACTAAAAACAGTCTGATTCAAAGGAACACATATTGGAGCAAATACACCTTTGTTCCATCATCATCTGCACAAGTTTCACACATGAGAGAACAGACAGTTATGACGGGTTACATTCTTTATAGTATAAATTCTACCGTACACTAAAAGTAGCTCAAAGGCCCAGATGCTGCTAAGATAGCTCACTGGTAAGATTCTGTCCTCCTTTCTGTATCCTACACTTAAGACTTGAGTGATCTTTCTTCCTAAGCTAGCCCATAACTTCTTTGCTGGTTAAAAGATATAACAGGGGCTGGCCCCATGGCCGAGGGGTTAAGTTCACACAGTCCACTTGAGCGGCCCAGGGTTTCACTGGTTTGGATCCCAGGTGCGGACATGGCACCGCTCATCAGACCATGTTGAGGCGGCATCCAACATAGCACGGCCAGAGGCACTTAGAAGCAGAATATACGACTGTGTACTGGGGGGCTTTGGGGAGAAGAATAAAAAAAAGAAGGAGAAGATTGGCAACAGTTGTTAGCTCAGGTACCAATCTTTAAAAAAAAAAAAGATGTGTTAACATTTAAAACATCCAATTACGTGGCTGGAGAACTGGCCTAACTGACCCAAGGGCTCTACCTTCCTCCATCCCCATATGCCCAGCAGCATTGATTCTGTCTTTTCAGCAGGCACGTTAAAAGGTATCTTCCTTGGGTTTAAACACAAGAGAGTCTGCCAACATTAGTTTGGTTTATGAAATGCGTAGAAAAAAGTGACAAGAAAAATGGTCTGGTTGTCCCTGTGGTCTGGTACTGGCTTCGTTCCGGGTCTTCTGTCTGAAAGTGTATCCGCACACATTCCCAGCAGCTCTCACTAGCTCTTCTTTGATTATTTTACTAGCTCATTTCTCGGAATGTTAAACACACACACACACAGAAATAGATAGTTCCTGGTCCAGTAGAATCGCCTAGGGTGATTGTGTTGGAACAGGTGCCAAAATAGTAACGTTCTTACCTGTAAACACTGCCTGGGCTAGTGAGAAGACACTGACGCACCCTCCTCCCAGCTCTTTCGTGCCAGCACACACAGGGAAAGCTGTAGCTCCCTGAGGGGGAGAGAGAGAAGCTGTTGCTTCACTTTAAATGAGTAGGGTTTAAAGTTACAAACTACAGTGAAAATGAACACAAAACAAATGTTTTTCAGGGAACACTAAAAGACTAAGAGATCTGATGGGGACATAAATCTTTATCATCGTCATACAAGTTAATCATGCTTATTTCATAAAAAAATAGAAAACCCAGGGAAGCACAGAAATCATTAAGATCCTCCCCAATTCTACCTCCTAGACATGTAGACCATGCATGTGTGTGTGTTTGCAGACATATACAATATGGATTCTGATACAAGCAAATCAAGAAATTTTTCATAGCCAAATGATACTATAAATTGTATTTTATTGTATAAATTGCTTTCGTACCAAACAACAGATCTGGAAAACCAACCATGTCAATAAATATCTACCACATCATTGTTAACGGGTGTATAGTATTCTTTCACATGGCTGTACCATAAGTTATGTAACAAATTCCCTATGGTTAATTGTTTAAATTCATTCCAACTTTTATAAGTATAAACAATTCTGCAATAAACATCATTTTACATACGTTTTTGTGCATGTGTCTGATTATATTTTAAGGTAAATTCTCAGAATTGTCATTGATAGGTTAAAAATGATGCATTATTATTTATTTATTTTGCTTTTTAAATAAGTAAAAGTCTTAATTACCCTGTAGAATAGTACCAATTCATATCCCACCATCAATGTATAATAACTCTTTTTCTCGCAACTTTGCCATCTTTGAAGATCATTTTCAGATAGATGAAAAATAGATGCATAGGTGTTTTCAATCTGCTAGGTGATAATTTATATCTCTGTTACTCTCGAGGTGCTTTACTTTGATTATTAGCAGAGTTGTATGCTTTCTTTATACTCATTGACCATTTGCATCTTTTATTTTCCGAATTGCCTTTGCCCTTTTATTTTTTGATTTGTCTCTTCCTAACTGAATTCCTAGTATATAGATTATTAGAACTTTGTCAAAACTATTGCAGACGTTTTTCCAAGATAACCCAGATTTCAGATGTCCCCTAATTTGAGATGGGGAGGGGACACAGTGTCCACATGGCTGCCTTTGTGTCAGTCCCATGCCCGAGACTACCAGGATACGTGAACTCAGCATGTCTCTGATGCTCTTAAAAGATCTTCTCATGCAAAAACCTTAGTGAACATGTAAACATAACTGGAGTTTTCATAGGGCAGATGGAGAACAGGTTTTGCAAAACACACCCTACAGAAAAATATCTAGTGGACATGTCTGTTCTTATTATCAGCTACATCTGGGACTGAAATAAGGAGTGGCTTACAAACAGGCCGGTTCTCCTCAACTTGCTTCTTCAAACTTGTCTTGCTGCTCAGCCAGACAAAGGGCCCTGCAGTTACCAAAATTGTCCTCCTTAGAAAACACTGGAACAATCATCTTAACTGATTTTGAACATGCCCCTTGGGATATCCTGCCTAACTCCAACAGTTTATCAGAGTATTTCTTCTTATTTTTTTCTGTTAAATCTCTCAAGAGTGTTAACTTATCTTCACCTAGTTTCTGCCCATTTCTTGTCCATTTTATTTTTAGGTATCTTTTCTTCTTTGGTTGCTGCTGCAATTAGTAACTTTGCTCCACTATATTATCTAACCAACTATTCTTTATATATAGGAAAACTATTGATTTGGATACCTTTTTGTGTGTGTGAAATCAATCACCTTACTGATTTATCTCATTTCATTTAATAGAATTAAAATTTTTATAATAATAGTTTTGTACTTCTCTGTTTTTCTTAATCTATGATCATCTTATGCAAATAATGACAATCGTATCTCCTTCTTTCAAATATTCACATCTTTTGGTACTTTCTCACATCTAATTACATTGGTCAGTACTTCTAAACTAAGCGTATTAGTAGTGATGATGGGGTTCTTCATTGTTCATTACAAAAACCTCTAAAACTTCCTTTAAAAATAATGCTGGGGGCCGGCCCGGTGGCGCAGCTGTTAAGTGCACACGTTCCGCTTCGGCGGCCCGGGGTTTGCCGGTTTGGATCCCGGGTGTGGACATGGCAGCGCTTGGCAAGCCATGCTGTGGTAGGCGTCCCACATAGAAAGTAGAGGAAGATGGGCACGGATGTTAGCTCAGGGCCAGGCTTCCTCAGCAAAAAGAGGAGGATTGGCAGCAGATGTTAACTCAGGGCTAATCTTCCTCAAAAAAAAAATAATAAAATAAAATAAAAATAATGCTGGCTTTGGTATATGGTGTATACACACACACACACACACACACATATATATATAAAGTTTTAATGTCAAAGAAGTTTACATCTTTTCCTATTACACTCATGGTTTGGGTTTCTTATTGGTACGTTTGTTTTCTTTTGGTTTTTTTTAATTAGAAAAGAATTTTGGATGTGTCAAGCTGTTTTAGATACCAGTCCAGGATTTGTCAAAGGCCTTTTAGATACCAGTCCATTAATCCATGCTCAATTTGAATTATCATCTTTTTTAAACACTTAAATATTCTTAGACATATTTATGGACTGTTAATTCTATTCCACTGATCTATAAGTCATTTCCAATGCCAGTACGTGAAGATTTATTTATTGAGCATTTTGACGTATTATAATAGCTAGTGATACAAGTGTCTTTATTTCCCTAATTTTTAAGATTTTTCTTGGCTAATGTGGCTCAGCATCCTAATCATTACTTATACTGCTATCATGTAGATAGTCAAAATTAATAAAATAGAAATAACTCAAAATAATTTGGGGTACTTTGATTTAAAAACAAATCAAATATCACAAATTCAGGGCAGGCAGAAATCAATATGTGCTTTATGAGTGATGGAACGTTTCATAGAAGATTTATTTTTTCCAGCTAAGGAAGAGGATATGAGAAGGGGGAGAGAAATTACAGAATGATGGAGAAGGCATTCTGATTAAGGGTTATTTAATTTAGGCTGAAATATATATATGTAGGCAAGCACCCTTATTCTACTTCTAAGAATTATTTGGGTGAAGAAAAACAATTTACCATTTAGCCAAATAGTTACTAGAACAGGAATTATAATTTATAATTATACTTATAATTATATTTATATATAATATAATATATAATAATAAAATATATATATAATTATAATTATAAACAGAATTTATAATCTAAGATAAGAAGATAAACTAGTATTTCTGAAAGCATTGAATTAACGTCATAGTTGTGGAAAGAAGTTGAGCGATTCCATTAAGCTCTAGGCAAGTGAGGCAAGAGAATTATAGGGACAAAGTTCAAATAAGGTCGTCACAATATGCTTCCCCATAACCTTTCTATCCTTGTCATCCCAAACTGCCCACATTACATTGAACTCCTTGACTTCTCAGAAGACATCACATCTTCCCTGTCACCCTGCCCTCCGACGTCCACCTCCTTTTCCTCTAGATATTTGTACTCACAGCTTCAGACACAGGATGGTACCGAAGTCTCCCCTGTACTCCAGTCTGGGACAGGAAGCCTTTCTCTTGGCTCCCATTGCAGCTCAGGCTCACTTCTCTGAATCCCTGCTTTTCTTGACCGTCTCCCTCAGTAGAGACACCATGGAAGGCATGTGAATTGTACATTTAGCATTTATCATATGGGGGTATTTTTAAAAATTATGGAAATCAAAATGAACCCTTTTAAGAAAGTCTTAAGAGATTTGGGACACAAACTCTTCTCTCTACTGTACTTATTTTTCTCAACCCAGTGTGGTTAAAACGTCATATCATGACTGCACAGCTCATATTAATTAGTCAAATCAAGGAAGCCTTCCTCCTTCATTGTCTATAAAGATTAGGGAGAAGAAGCAGTCCAAGTGAGTAAGTATAAGAATAAGGGAATCATAAAGTTGGAAAGGCCCATGGAAATCGTTTATCCAGTGGTTTCCAACCCTGACGAGCTTTTAATAAAATGCCGATACCCAGGTCTTACCTCAAGTGAATCTGATTTAGCTTGTATGGTATGACCAAGCAATAGTATTTTTCAAAGTTCCCTTGATGCTTCTAATATGCACCCAGAATTGAAACTAATATAATCTTTCTCCCTCGTGTTCCTAATGAAGCAAACCTGGGAGGTGAAGTCACTTGGGTGGGTGGATAGGAGACACACTGAGAATAACCAAGGTTCTTCGACATACATAGTAGTTTTTTTTTTGTCAAATCACACTCAACTAAGAACAAATTATTTCTGTAAAGGTGAGGAGAGAAATTTTGTAAAGTCTAATGAAATGTGTGCTTCATTATAGAAAGAATGATCAAGAAATCAATGAATTTGGAAGAACCTTACTTAAGATGACCACCACGGATGAGATGACCACTACGGGCAGAAAGTAAAGCAACCACAAGCTGCGTGCATCCGCACTTCCAAATAGGCATAGTGAGAAGCAAGGTGAACCAAAAAAAAAAAAAAAATGATTCCAATTGCCAGCAAGGAAGGATTTATGCAGGAAATAACTTGACTGAATAAACAGAACTAGCTAAGACTAGATTATTCAAACATGAGATTTATCTCTAAGTCACACAAAGCTGGACAATGTAGCAAAACTATCTACTGATAATTTCCGAGATGTATAAACACTGGTGATGAGCACGCATTTAAGACCCTCTTCAAGCCTTATCCCTGAGAAAGAGACTACAAGAGAGGACAGTTCACAGGCACTGAGGATGGAAATTACCCCGGTGCAAGAGGTAAAATTTTTCTCAGATTTATCTTGCAAATTCAGAATACTTAAAAAATTAAATTGGGGATAACAATGAGGAAGGTCAACGTAGTAGGTCAATCAATAATCATTGACAGAGGAACTAGGGACGAAGGAAGAATTTTCTGTCGTTCTGTTTTACCAACAGCTCCAATCTCTTCATCCTCCCTCCAAGTCAACTCTTTCCAGATGGTCTTTAGTTTCCAAGACTTAAAGAAATACAGTCTTATCTAAGATAAAAACTGCTTCCCTTGTCATTTGACTTTTATTTTTATATAATAGTCATTTTATACTACTTCTCAACTTTTTTTAACATATAGATTCATCTTTCAATATATAGTCATCCTGTCTCAGTTTATGATCCTGATCATACAGCAAGTAACATAATTTTGCAACTCATACTAACTTTCAGAATATTTGTCTTAGCTTCATTTTTTAACACACACACATACACATGAATTTCCATTTTTCATTTCAAGTTGAATTTTGTGCCTAAGGATACATGGTAAAAGGCCCGGATTAGTGTTGATATCAGGAAACTCTTTAAAAATGTGGCTAAAGTCCAGAAAGGATAGCAAGGGGAGAAATGCCATTGGTTTCTTATCATGTGCACTAAACTGGTGTTAAGGCTGATAGTTAGATATGACAAATAGAAAAATAAAACACTGTAAAATAAGGACTGTTATTGGCAAATGTGACATACATCACGGATAAGCTGTAACCTTTATTTTCACCGTATTAAAGTAACTTCTAGTTATTTCAAAGGCTGATTGGTCAATACGTAGGTTGTGAAGAATCTTCTGTATCTAACTCCTTCCAGTTGCTCCATGAGAAAACACCAGAGATCTGGAAAAGAAGAGAAAGTAAATCTTCAACCCATCTCAACTGGTTCCTATTGAGTATTGGTTCCTACTAATTCCTATTAGTAGTTTTGATAGATATTGTTGGAGATTTGGATGAAGGACAACTAAATGACTCGAGACTGAGAAATTACCTGTAGATATTATTCATCCATGTTCTCACAATGGAAAGTTGTGAGTTGGCTGAAATATTCAAATCACTGGATTTTATTTTATTGAACCATGTGTTTCTGGTTTAAACGTCGGCCACATAGAAATACCCCCACCCAAATGTGACTTCCCATAATCCTTAAAGGTAAGCCCATGAGAAAATAAAAGTATAAAAGACTATCTAGCTCTCTGTCTACCAACCACTCCCTTTCCTATCAGTTTGTTTCAAAAATGCAAATGGTTCCCATTTCAAAGTAACTCTGGCTCTGTGTTCGTCAGGGAAACTCACCCCCAACACCCATTCCTTCACCTCAGCACCTTAGTCCATAATCCTTCCATCTTATCCTAACAGAATCTATGGATGACTCTTGGATTGTTTTACACAATCTCCCCACCAATCTCCCTCTTCCACCCACCCCACAAGGTGCACAATAATGTATAATGAGTCACAAATTTCATTTTGTTTCCCCTTTTAAGCACTTAGTACTTGTGGAATCCTTAGCAATCACTAAACTTCTCCCAGCCAATTTTACGACTTTAGAATAAGTGTGTCCATCTCTGCCTTGTACAAGTATTGTGAACATTAGGGATAAAGTAGGTAAAGAGCCCAACTTATCTGAAGCACTCATCAAAAGTTAACGATTATTTGTACTATTTTCTCTTATGTCCTCTTTATTCTGTCTCCTGCAGGAAGAAGTTCAGAAGGAAGACATAATGAAGAATGAAGTAACAAATAATAAAAATAGATTGATAAAAGTAGTCAAAAATGATGCGGGGTCGGTGAGCCGAGGAGTCGAAAGAAAGATTTCTTAGACTCTCAAGATCTGGCAGTAGTGCTCTTTTATTTAGAGAATAGAGATAGAGTAGCATGGGGACAGGACCCATGGGCAGTCAGAGCTTCTGCTGCTGCCCCGAACTGAGGGTTAGGGCCAAATTTAAGGCATAGGTATGTGAGTTATCTCTTTATTAGTGCCCGTTTGGTCTGGCCATTTGGCGGTCCCACAACTTTTAGATAAGAATCAAACCGGACTGAGTAAATGGCAGGCAGAAGTCACCGCTTGAATTTTATCCTCGGCTAAAGACAAAGGAGGATTTGTGGGGGGGAGGGTCAGTTACATGAGGTTGCCAGACAGTAACCAACTTAAGTTCTTGCCTCTGGCATTGACCAAGAGCCTCTAGAGATAAGACCATCCCCCCCCCCTTCCTGGCACAGAGAGGGAGGCATCTTCACAGATAGAGGTTTCCCTTAGAAATGTAAATGTTTCCCAACAAAGGGGCAAACAAATTCCACTCCTTGGAGCCTGAATCTCATCTGTAGTTTTAAAACTAACCAGCCTAAAAATCCTCATCATAAGCCATTTTAAAATTAAGCAGCCTAAAAATCCCCATCATAAACCCCCCCTGAACCCATTTTGGCCCCGAAATCTTTTGGGGATATGGACGATGGTCAGTCTTCTGTAACTACTTCCGGCTGTACAAGGTCGTAGAGCTGTCCCTAAATGGGGCCGTGGGTACAGGTAGGAGGCTCAGCGGACCGGAAGGCTGCGCCTGTGGCGTCCAAGGCTGACAAAGTGTACAGATCCTCTGGCGATGAGAGAATCATTTGATGAGAGGTGGTCCAGGAGGTGAAACTTTGTTGACATGTGGAAGACAAACAACGAAATAGACAACAAATTATAATAAGAAATACAAGCAAGATGATTAACCCAATGAATAAGGTTTTGATAGTAGTCCAGAAACCTGGACCTGACCAAGAGTTCAACCAATCATTTAGAGATAGGGTGGGGTCAGACATGGACTTAATTTGGTGGCTCATATCAGATAGGAAGCCAGAGATATTCCGATGGTAGTCAGGAATATAAACACAACATTCAGTTTTTATAATGGCACAAGTACCCCCTTGCGCTGCTGTCAAGACATCCAGTGCCATTCGGTTTTGGAGGACTGCCTTACGCATTTGGGACACTTCTAAATCGAGCAGCGAAAGGCTATGTTGTGTATCATTTAAAGCTTTCATAGTAAATTTGTTTAGAGCTTCCATGTGCCAGATGACACTTTCGATTCCTAATTGGGGAAGGAAAATTGAGGCAACATGATCATACCAGTGGAAGACAGAGCGGGTCCAGCGCTGTTGCAGGTTGGGTAGGTTAGCAGGGGGAGATATACTAAATGTAGTTCTGCCCTGCATCCAGACGAAACCTAGGGTGCATCGTCCAATCCATCCAGGTGGTAGCCAAGGCCATAAGTTGGAGCCACATAACCACTGAGTGCCATTAGGGGCTAGCCAACGTGTGCTTGGCCGTCTATCCCAGTCAGTCCCAAACCAATCAGTATTTCTTAAGGCTATGATATGAGAACACATATAACGGGGAATTTTTCCCATAGGTCGGGTGCTATTAGGCCATGTGTCACAGGTGTGATTGGTTTGTGTTTATCATCCACCTGTGACAAGGCAAATCTAGTTAGTATTTGGGCAGTAGTATTGAAGGAAAAGGTTTGATTGTGGCCAGGGTACTCCCAGGTGTCAGAGACGGATGGCCACAAGGAGAGTAATAGATGAACCTTGTAAAAGAGAAGAGCTAGAATCTAATATCCATGAATGCGTACTATAGTTTCTAATGAAACATAATTTTTTTCTCTGTAAAATCACCCTCATTTTCACAAAAGATAGCCAAATTAAGATGAACTGGTTTGCAAATAAAGTGTAGTTTCAATAAAACTTGGTCCAATTATTTACATAAGTGCAGCAAGAATGGCAATTGATTATACTGGCTTTTTAAATCTGCTTTGCTGGAATTTTTTATGAGGAATCTCAGATTGAACTGTAAAGGCCTCTCGAGGCCAGAAAAGCCAAGCCAAGGACATGCTGTCAGATTTTGCCTGCAGTACCTCCAGATTTGGGTGGACTCCTCTCTCCTCGAGGTCCTCCAAAATATTCTGAGGTTCCTTGCACCTGCCAGATAAGCAAGCTTCCTTACTTACCAGGTAAGATTGCCAGAATCTCTGTAAACAAGGTACCAGGCCCATGATTCCAAGTGGCTGTATCCCAGAAAGTCCAATCTTTGTTCCTGAAAAGCTGTCTTGTCATATCTGAGCCTGTATGTTTCAAATATGACATTCCAGTCAAAGCCTTGGTAATATAATCAACGTGTCCTGTTATAAGGAGAACAGATTCTTATTGAACTTATGCAAATAACTATATTGCCACGAAATAACCATACTCACTCACAAAGTTTCTAAATTCTGGAGGGATCAGGTAGGGAGAAAAAGATAAATGTTTCAGTTTTGCTCATAAAGGTATAATTTCACCAAATTGCTATAAGTCATAGTTAGCATAAGATAAAAGAGAAAAAGATTTCCTTAAATATGAGAAAACAAAACACATCAAAACTCAAGAATATTTCAAACAGAAGTCATAAAAAAATTATAATCATCCTCATCAGTTCACACAGTCCTGTATAATTGATTATTGAGTTTAATCTTCTGTTAGCAGATCCATGAGCACAGTTTCTGTTAGAATTCTGTAATTTCTTACCCAGTTCAGTTTTACACTCTGAAAGTTTATCAGAAACCTGTAGTTTAGAATCTTGTGTCATAATCTTTTCCAGGATTTTCTCTGAAGATGAAACATATTTGCAAAAGCAAAAAAAAAGCATCAGAGTAAAACAGCAACTATCTGCAAATGGACAAAAGACTCAAAAGGGCAATTGATAAAGAAACTTGACTACTTCTGTGACATACAACACTTCAAGATAACAATTGGAATTAGAACCGATAACCAGGACAGATCAAAATTTTAGGAATGCTACATAATTTTAAGATACCTATATTAATAGCATTTACCCACATAATACCACCTAAGAAAGTTTATCATCGCTTATTTGACAATGCTTCCCATGTAGTTTAACATTACAAATAAGCCTAATTAGTTTAGAATCTTCCACCTTATAGGAAGATAGAGCAAATTTCTCTGTGAAGTCCCAGGGGCTCTCTGAAAATTCCCAGAGAAATTCTCTTCCTTCTACCAGGTTAAAAGAAAGCCTTCCTTCTTTCAGGATTTGAGTATTTTTGAGGCAGAAGCTTGTCAAAAATATCAAAAGTTTTTAAAATACTTGTTCAAATAGGAAACAACGCCCACTGTTAAACAATGCTCAGGTATCCATTCAAAGTGACAACAGAGACGGCCAAGAGCAAACAACACAGTCAAAAAATTTTAGAAGAGATCTCTTTGTTTCTGAATATAAGAAATTGTTTTAACAAAACATAGATTTTTGTCTTTTAGGTAGAGTTAGAGCAGGCCAAAAGTTCAAGAAAATTATCCTTTGAGAGAAAACCAAATTTTAATTTCTGTACCAGCTTATTTTTAACATTAAAACTCATTCACTTAATTGCTTAGTCTGCTTCACCAGTCATAAAACTCCTTTCAGAGTTTCTCCTTCACAAACCTTCTACAACTTTCTTTTTGCCTTCAGAATTTGTCCCAGTCTTTCTTTTTTCCTTTCTAGTACATTAGGACAAATTTATCTTTCTTAACCCATCAAACAAAATACTTCCATTCTTTGTACCTTCTTTACTGAAAACTTACACCTTACTTTCCTTGAATACAGAGCTGTTTTCCTTATTAATTCCCAGTAGCTTTAATTATATAGGTTACTTAGAACTTTTAACCCTTAACAGACCCTAGTAAACACTGAAAAGGTAAGCAATCTTTTATATCAGCATTCTAAACACTTCATTATTTCAGAAACACGCCGCTTTACAGTAACAGACCTAAAGACTTTTAGCCCCTCTGCCATAAGAAGCCAAAAGTAACTAACTTAGATATGTTTAGCAATGATGTTTCAGTGTTCTATCCAATTCAAAAACGACCCAGATACTCAGGTTTTTATCATTTAACTTAACTTGGCAAAACTCAAGATTGTTACCAAAAAGAATTTCAAAGCAGTTTTTTCCCAAGTATACAGACCATAAAAGTTATTGTACCCACTTTTATCTATTTAATCCGTTTGTTTCCAACAATTATGTTCAGATTACCTACGAAAACCTTGTGAGACATTAGACAAAACTGGTCATCATTTAAAGCTATTATTTTACTGACGAATTTAACAGACAACGTGAACTTATTTGACTAGTAAACCCAGGCTGTACGCCTGCATCATATGCAAATACCAACAACTCTTGAGGGCATGCCTTTTCAATCAAACCAACAAACTTAAACAAGCTTTCATTTACCAAAGGTTAATTCACATCACGTTAACTTGAAAGACATTGGATTAATTTCTACTACATTTAGAATTTATGTAAGCGCTTACTTTAAGCCAATTAAACAGAGCTCTTAATTTTGGTAATACCATCCGGAGGTAAAATATCACACATACAACGTACACATAGACACACATACACAGAGACTGCACAGCTATTGTTACAGCTATTGTTTTTTACCAGTATTTGTGGAGAAGATACTCAAGATGCTAGATTTTTTTTGCAAGGGCACACTTATGGCCGTTTTGCCTCTCCCCTCCTCTCTTTTTTCCTTTTTTTTTTTGGCTTCAGTCTTAGGAATTAGTGATAGGCTAGGTAGTAGTTCCTGGAGAGGGGAGATGATAATCCTTTTCGTGATAAAGGAACTAGGTGGAATCTGAACTGCCTCTAGAGCTGTATTTCCAGTCTTGCAAGGATTTCCTAAGGACAGTTGGTCTTGATTTCCCAGAAACTGGATTGTAACTCAAATTACATTCCAGGTTGATCTACCTGTCCAGCTGCATCACAAAGGCACAGAGAAACCCCTCAAGTTTTCTCCCAGATGGAGTTAGAATGCATCCGCAGGGCGGGTCTCTGGGGATGCTCAGG